TATCTTTACCCGCTTCGGTCTACCGGAGTCCATCGTAGCGGATCATGGCAAACAGTTCGACTGCCAAAAGTTCATTGAGTTCTGCGACGAGAGTGGGGTGGTCCTGCGATTCTCGTCCGTGGCTTATCCCCAGGCTAACGGACAAGCGGAGGCGGCCAACAAGAGCATTTTACATGGCCTCCACACCAGGTTACTGGGCGCCAAAGGAAGATGGGTGGAGGAACTCCCGGGCGTGCTCTGGGCGCATCGGACGACATACAAGGTAGCGACGGGGGAGACGCCATTCACATTGACTTACGGTAGTGAGGCAGTCATCCCAGTAAAGATGCGCTTCCCCATGTTCAGGATGGCAGAATACGAAGCGCAAGCCAACGAGGGGGAGCGCATCCATGACCTCGACATCTTGGAAGGGCGCAGGGATGTCGCTTCTGTGCGTTTGGAAGCAATGAAACGACAAGTGGCCAGGTACTACGATCGCAGGATGTGCCCCCATTAGATCGGCATGGGAAGCTTGGTACTAAGGCGTGATTTTCGTCCGAAGGCTTGTGAGGGCAAGTTAGCACCCAAGTGGAAGGGACCGTACCGCATCAGGGAAGTAGTGGGGCCTGCCACCTTCAAACTCGAGCGCATGGGCGGGAAGGCCGTAAAGCGAACGTGGAATGCCATGAACTTACGAGCGTACAAGGGTACGGCGGGAGATGAAGTTTCAGAATGATCGACGTGGCGGGGAAGGCGGACGCCTTCATTTTGCCCAGCTGGTGAGAATAGTTCACCAGGCTGTAGGAGGCATACTTACTGCAAGCATGGTATCCCATGCGCCTCAACGTGTGATTGTAAGACGACCTAACATTTTAATTTCCGCATTATGTCACTGTAAAGCGCCCAGTCTTTTGCGCCCCGTTTGAGTAATCTAAAGGGAATGTTGTCAATTGCGTGCGTACGTGTTGTTTTGTAAAGCGCCCTAATCAGTTCGCGCCCTCCCAAGATCGATCTTTTGTGCAAATCGCGCACGAAATGGAAAGTCCATCACTCCGCAAAGCGCCCAAAATTTTGCGCCCTTAAATAAAGCGCCCTGTTCCTAGCGCCCCGTGAATAACCTAAGGAAACCACAGTTAGTCATATGTGCACGCGTGTCTCGTAAAGCTCCTTAAGTAGTTTGCGCCCTGGAAATGATAAGCTCTTCGTAAAGCGCCCTGGACAATGTTGCGCCCTAGAAATGTTAAACATAGGCGAGGAGAGGAATGCCAAAAGAGAACGAAGATAACTTAAACAACATAACGTTCACAGTAGTCTTGAAAAGCAAACACAGAAATGACAACATAAAAACTGGAAAGGGAACACGTCCTAAAAAGAGTTCTCTAGCATCAATCCTCGACTTCGACCTCCTCGCCGCTGCCTCCTTCGCCTCCCGAGCCTTCGTCCCCGGCGTCCGACGCATCGCTACCACTGAGGTCGACCCTCTCGTCAGCGCCCTGGCCGGCATCAGCTCCGGAGTCTTCGGCGCTCTGCACCTCTTCATGCGCCTCACTCTGGGCACCCTGCGCCTGCTCTTCCCCATCCTCCGGGGGCGCCTGCTCCAACACGGTAATGATGTGGCTCATCAGGTCCATGGCATCGAAGACCCAATCTGGATGATCGGCGTTAAGCTTCTGCTGGGCAATCTCCACCGTGCTTATGACGGTATCCGCCTGAAGATTTTTCCCGGCAGTGGAGTTCTTGTAATCGGCTAGGTCACGCCTCAAACTCTCCTCCACTACTCGGGCCTTCTTTAAGTCCCGGTGGTAGCGCCTGCTGGACTTCCGAGCCTTCTTGCCGGACACCTCCAAGTCGCGCACCGATTCGCGGAGGGCGTTACGCTCCTCAAGGAGGGCGTCCCGCTCCCTAGTTAGGGCGCCCTCCCTCTCTCGGAGCGCCTTCTCCACCTCCGCGTACCGCGCCTGCTCCTCGAGGCGCACCTTCTCACGTTCCGCCTCGATCTCCTGCTCGCGCTGGGCAGCATCACCAGAAGCCTTCTTCTCCGTAGCCTCCAAGTCGGATTGGAGGCGTGTAGCAGCTATGGCGGCCTCCGCGCCTTCGCGCCTGATCTTCTCTACCTCGCGGGTAGTGGCCTCGCAAAGGAGCATCATCTGGGGCGCATGGAAAGAGTTAGAAAAAATAAAAGAATGAAAGACTAAAACAAGATCAATCGAACGGAGACCAATGCTTACCCGCACGGTCATGTTGGTCATCGTATGCCATGTCTTGTTGGAGACAAGGCCCTCCGGATGCTCGACCACATTGTATTGGGAGCGCGCCCACTGAACGGAGGCGCCAAACTCCTTGGCCGCCTTCACCGGCACGCCCACAGCGACCTTGGTAAGGGGGCGCCTCGGAGGTTGGAGATAAGGGGGGATCGGCGCCACGAAGCTGGGTGGCAACCCGGATGTATCAGGCGGGGGCGCCTTCGCCCGCTTGGCGGGGCGGGCTTGGTCGTCCCCGGATCTCTTACGCGAAGAGGGCGCCGGCGACGGAGGCATACCCGCCTCCCTTGTTGCATGAGGAGCGGATCCCGAGGCGGGAGTCCGGGGAGAGCGCATGCGCTCCCGCGCAGAAGGGCCAGCGGAGGCGGATGGGCTGCCTGCGCCCGCGCCCGAACTATGATGCGGCGAGGCCCCGTCTGAGGCGCCCGAAGCGGAAGCGGAAGGGACCGCCTTCGCCTTGGCCTTAATCCGGATTGTACGCCTCGCAGGCTCGGAGGCGGACGGCCCAGCGGCGCCGGACGCAGGGGAGGCGCTCCCGTCATCCTGGCCGAGCCCCAGCCTGGATCGGATGATGGACGTCACCGAAGTAAAATCTGTACCTGCAAAAGAGAGAAAGAGGGCGAAGGTTAGCAAACGGAGTAAAGGAGCATAGTAGGAATGAGAGCCAAGGCGCCCGAGCCAGGGTACCGTCTTGGTAAAAGTCGGCCAAGAGCTGCACGTAAGCATCGTCATCAGTAAGGTCGAAGGGCTCTTCGGCGAGGCGCCTAGCACTGGCCAACTCCGACTTGCTCAAGGGAGCGGGCTTGTTGAAGTAATCGGGGGTTCCTAGTGACCACTCCATCATAGCGGGGCGCCCGCTGGCAAAGAAGGGTATTTCTCGAGGGCGAACAAAAAAGTACGAATCGAACCACTTGCGCCCTATCTTTTGGCAACTACGGATGAAGCTATACCCTAACTTCTTACGCTTATTGAGGATGAGGCAGTTGGTGCTCCTCGACATAGAAAAAAAATGATTGAAGAGTTTGAAGGTGGGTTCTATGCCTAACTGCTGGCACTTGTGGCGGAAGAGGACTGAGTACAACACAACGGCAGGAGAGAGGCGCCCGAGCGGGCATTGGCACGCATCAAGGACCCCTTCTAGAACGGGATCCAAGGGAAAGCGCAGACCAAACCTTAGATACTCCTGGTAAATCCCCGTCCAGCCGCTGTCGCCACAAACGCCTATCCGAGACGAGCGGGGCGCATGGCAATACTGCCAGGGCGCAGGCATTTGCGCGGCCACCAGCAGCTTTTCGAGGCGCACGCGCAGGCATTTGGAGGGATGCTTTGGGCCCGCTGAATCCACGGGTAGACCAGCTACGTTGCCAGGCGCTTGCCCCGAGGCCCAAGTCGACTCCCACGAACGAAACGCATAGCTTTGCGATGCGTCAGGGCCTGGGCAAGGGGGCAGAGAGTGGTCAGGAAAGAATTCGAAGATGACATAAGAGGCGCGAGGCGCATCAGAAGAGGAGTGGATGGAGAGAACGAAGCATGCGAAGGGGAAATCGAGAGCGCATAACCCTTAAAAAAAAGGGCGAGGGGAGAAGAGCCGTACGACGAGGCGCAGCGCCCGAGGATGGAGGAGCACCAGCAGCAGACGCCGAGCGCACCGGACCAGTTTGCTGTGAGGTCGACATTGAATGAGGCGGAGGCGAGCTCGACGAAGGCAGAGGAGAAGCCGCTCGGACTTAGTGAGAGAAAGAAGAGAGAGGTCAGAGCAAAGAGGAGAGAGGTTAGAGCGAAGTGGGCAAGTGAGAGTGACAGGCAAGGGGAGGAAGGAATATATAGGGGGGATGAGAGCGGCAAGAGAGGATGTTAGTCCATTTCGAAACGGACTAGGGGGGAGTAGAAGGGGAAGCCCAAGAGTCTCACTGAGTAGGGGAATACCAAAGGTCTCGCGAGGGGATGGTGGGGGAGTCCAAAAGTCTCGAAAGGAGGGGGAATCCCAAGAACCCCATAATGGCGGCAAGGAAAGGGGAAGCTGAAAAGACGAGTCAAGAAACAAGGCGCACAGGAACGATGAAGACGACGAACAACCTAGGCAGGGGGAAAGGCGCATGAGGTACGGGCGAGACGCCTGTTCCAGGAAATCCAGGCAATTGTTGGGGGCATAGCCTCGGCCCAAGAGGGTCAGGCTTAGCAGGCCCAAGGCCAAGGATGGATGGGCTAAGTCTTAGAGCCCAACCCGGTAGGCCCAAGGGGGCATAAAGGAAGTCAGCCCACCCAACAGAGAGGAGCACCCAGGCCAGGTGGGACCAAGACTCTGACACAGGGCGCATACGACAAGGGTGCGTAGCGGATAGGGAGGTACGGAGGAGGGACCAGCTGACGTCACGCGCCTTCGACCGCCTGAGTATGGTGTCAGGTGGTCGAGGCGCATGGTACCGGGCCGTACGGTGCATTAAATGCGGGTCAGGCGACAGGCGGGATGCGAGGATGTTGGTCGGCCAGACCCGAGGTATAAATAGGAGAGTTGGTGAACCTCATTTACTCAGGTTGGGGCTTCTCTCTAGAATTACTATTCACTTCTCTCTCTAGAAACTGTGACTGACTTGGGCGTCGGAGTGCTAACGAGCCCAGCCTTGGGCTCAAGTTAGCCGTGTTGCGTGCAGGGGAAGGCATACCGGAGGATTGCGTGCGAAGTCTCGGGGCGCATAGTTACTGGGCACGAACATTTCCAAATTACAGGAAGATGGTTTGACAGGGGAAAGAAGTGCTCACCAATTCCTTGCTTGGGATTTGGCTTGTCAGCCTGAGGCTTTTGGAAAGACAGAGCAATAGGTACTTCCATAATCTCGTATCTAACTCCGTAGGGTTCTTCTGTGGCATCTTTTAGGGAGGAGAAGGCACTAGTGAAAGAATTAATCTTGGTTAAAAAGCAATAGAAAAGAAGCATTACGTTAATCACATGCTCCTTCAATGTGTAAGGTTATTACAAGACTTGAGCTTTACCAGAACGGCCTTGGAGAAATTCCTTGCTTAAGCTTAATTCAGACATGGCAAGATGCAAAGGCTCATCCACCTCCTGATGAATTAGGATAACATATGTGAGAAATACTTGTCATTAGTTAAATCTTCTTCTAAACAGAAAATTTGAAGCTAAGTACACAAAATTACCTTGAAGACAGCAGCATAACAAGGAGAACGAACAGTAGAGAGATGCATAAATTCAGCAAATGTTTTCCAGGTAAGGTGATTTAGGACCCGCAACATTTGATCATAACTACCTACAGCTAAGAACTGGCCACAAGGAGGCCAGGAAACACTTTTCACCCCTAGCCCACTCTCATATGCCTGATACTTGAACAGACAACGACCATCTGGGGAATAGATTAGAACCTGCAAATCGAAACACAAGTTCTAACTACATAAGTTATTCCACATAACCGACATTCCCTCTTGTTTATCAGCAGCTTTTACATGCAATGTCAGATATGCTCCAACATATTACATTTGAAAGACTTCTTCGTATTTCAATTTGGAAAAGGAACGTGGTAACGTGAATGACAATATGAGCCCAATACCTTGTATTCAAGAGGAGAATCCCAGATCACTATAGCACTATCATCAGGCGAGTATTCAATGTTGGGACTTTTAGGGACGAGGGTACACGTACGATAGCCCGAGACCGGGTGACCAGGATTTTGATAGAGTCGTGAACAATCTTCACTTTCCGAAAAGAATATTTCCACCCTCTACAAAGCCTTGGGTTACAGGAAATTTCTCCCGAGGATAAAACTATCACCACTTTAGGTTCCAGGCTCAAGAACACTAAAGCATACTTAGAAATTTTTGGAAGAAAGAAGAAGAATATGTTTGATGGTATGTGGCATCATCCACCCCACACATATTTATAGGGGCCGAATCCATGCACTGTTTCATGAAAGGTTGCCTTTATCCATACGAAAGGTTGTCTTTATCCATATGAAAGGTTGCCTCTATTCATATGAAAGGTTATCCTTATCCATATGAAGGGTTGCCTCTATCCATAAGGTTATCCTTATCCATAAAATAATGCAACCGCCACTAGGCCAAAGGGATGTGTCCCTTCACGGAATTAGAATATCGGTTCGGTCGGTGTAATCCCAAACCGGTTGGTCGGTCCAACCCAAAACCGGTTTGACTTGGTTAGTCCGGTTCAACCAGATTTCCAACATTCCTCCCCCATTTTAGTGTATTATAGAATTCACTAAAATCACAACATCCTTCCAACAAAACTTAAGCATAAATGAAAATGTCGTGACGATTGAATTTTCACCTTAGTATATTACACTTGACGAATACTCGAATACAAAGGGTGTCGGTAACGATTGAACCCATTGACTCATATGAATATTCGAAGATAATATACACTTAAGTTTTCAAACTTCTAAGTGCCTTGACACTATTATCCGCCATGTGTCCAATCCTTCTCATAAGCGCACACAAAACCAAAGTCCGGGTTTCTTGAAGCGGCTACACTTCATGCTTACGTAGGTCGAATCTTTTATTCGTGTACCCGCATAATACACTTTGTCAAAGATTCAATTAAGAAGTTTTGAACTTCATCCTCTTTTCTCATGCAGATAACAAGCACATACCTTGGGATGACAAATTGTGTGCTTCAATTTCTAAGAATGAGCTTTCCACATTGAATTCAGCCTCTAACGTTGTATTAGAGGGGAATTGGGTATCCCATGATCAGAAATTATATGGACTTTAAACCCATCCCTTTCACAGACTTGATCACCAAGTCACTAGTTAACCACTTCGTCAAATGATCAACCAAATTATCTCGAGTCTGGTCATATTGTTTAGACACAACTCTATGAATGATCAGTTCAAAGATTTTACCGTGTCTTACTTTCACATGACCGTACTTGACATTTTCACTTGACTATATGCCTTAGCCAAATTAGCATTACTATCACAAAAAATAGCAATAAGTGAGATTGGTTTAGACCATAAATATATGTCATAAACCAAACATCTCAACAATAATGCCTTTTATCTAAGAGAAATCAAGGCCACAAACTTTGACTCCATAATGGAACTAGTGATGCAAGTTTGCATTATAGAGGCCCAAAATATGGCACCTCCCCCAAGCAAGAGGACCCATCTCAATGTCGAAGTATCACCTTTAACATGAGAAATCCAACTAACATCAACAAATCCTTCCAAAAATGGATGGAAAGCCACTATAACTCAATACAATGTGCCTTTGACATATCCTAGAACATGCCTCATTTCATTTCAAATAATGAGAACTAGGATTCATCACGTCCCAACTTAATTGTTCTATCGCATATGCGATATCTAGCATCATGCAAGTCATGCATACATCGAGCCCCCAATTTGACATGGAATACTCCATTTGTAAAACTGATTTCCAGTATTAACCATAAGTTCCATACTTGGATCCATTGGGGTCTTTAACTCACTACAATTCCTACTATGGAATTTACGCAAGTACCTTCTCATGCAGAAAAATTGAGAGAAGGACTATTTCTTGTCGTTCCGCTTGATTCAATACACAGAATCACAAATGCCTCCCCCATGTCCCACATGGAGAATTGAAATAACAACTTTTTATCAAAGTTCACTTATCTTTTATTGGTCTCAAAGATAAGCATGTCATATACAGACAAATGTACGATGACTTCATTACCAGAATCATCATCAATTGTGTACACATTTGTCTCTTTGGTTTAAAATAACATAAACCACTTGACAAATCACTTATCTTTGATTGGTCCCAAAGATAAATATGTCATCTACATACAAACACAACGACTCTATTACCAGAATCATCACACATTGTGTATACAATTTTGTCTCCTTGGTTTAAAATAACATAAACCACTAGACAAAATCACACCACCAAACCACTAGACAAATCCAAGTTTATCTAGAACTTCGTAAATGTCTAATAGAGAATTAGATTATTTAACCATTGAGTATGTGACCTACCCAAAGGCAATTTTCATTCTTCTATTTCTCCATTTTACGAATCATTTTCCTTCTTCCTCATCTTTGAATCATCCCTCTTCCAAGTTACCTTCTGGATATGGAATACACCATGAGATAAGTACGAAGAAAACCCATCTTCTACTGCCATCAATGAAAAACCCATCATCGAACATTCTCATAATTCCATAGACCGGAACCGGTTTCTTGTAAAGAGCGGTTCGAGCCATCGTACCGGAAAATTATTCTTTTCGATTGTTGGGACTTTTAGGGACGAGGGTACACGTACGATAGCCCGAGACCGGGTGACCAGGATTGTGATAGAGTCGTGAACAATGTTCACTTTCCGAAAAGAATATTTCCACCCTCTACAAAGCCTTGGGTTACAGGAAATTTCTCCCGAGGATAAAACTATCACCACTTTAGGTTCCAGGCTCAAGAACACTAAAGCATACTTAGAAATTTTTGGAAGAAAGAAGAAGAATATGTTTGATGGTATGTGGCATCATCCACCCCACACATATTTATAGGGGCCGAATCCATGCCCTGTTTCATGAAAGGTTGCCTTTATCCATACGAAAGGTTGTCTTTATCCATATGAAAGGTTGCCTCTATTCATATGAAAGGTTATCCTTATCCATATGAAGGGTTGCCTCTATCCATAAGGTTATCCTTATCCATAAAATAATGCAACCGCCACTAGGCCAAAGGGATGTGTCCCTTCACGGAATTAGAATATCGGTTCGGTCGGTGTAATCCCAAACCGGTTGGTCGGTCCAACCCAAAACCGGTTTGACTTGGTTAGTCCAGTTCAACCAGATTTCCAACATTCAATATCAACCCAATCTACCGTATCAACTGCAAAAAGTACCCATTATCTCCCACGTATGACAAGACAAGATATTGACATAGTCCTTGCAATCGCGCCTAGTACAAATGACAGCAAATTTCCCATCTTTGGTGAAACAAACTCCCTTAGATCCATGCTTTGGCCACTGCACATGAACACAAGCTGTGTTCAGTAGCAACCAAACAGTGAACCGCAGTTGAAACTCGGAGGTGGTCAGAATGTGATGGCTATCGGGGATCCATCTAGCATAAGCTATACCAGCTAAACCTTCATCTATCTTATATGTCCACTCTGGTTGGGTCAACGACCATGCCTGAATCAGTGGCCTTTTGTACAAGCCGCAAAGAATGTACTCAGAATCAAGCGCCCATTCTATAAAACTGATCTTTATCCAAGCACGAAAACAACTGCACAACCTGCACAGAGAGAATAAATGCAGGCAACTCCCAATTACATACTTGAAATTTTGACGGGCAAATTTCTCAGTCGGCTAGAAAACCACAAGATTGTTGGAACTGCTAGAGCTGGAATCCTTGCTGCACAAGGATTGGGTTGAAGGCGCCAAAAGTTGTGTTTGAATTAGAGTCTTTCGTATTAGTAGGAACGGTGTCGTTTGTCAAAGTGTCCAGTTGGTCCTTTAAGTCTAGTTCATTACAAATAAGTCCTGCGTGTTCTGTTTGAATGGTTGAGAGTTTTCAGCTCAATCTGTTGGTAGTGGCAGCTGAAGTTTAGGAGTCTGGAAGTTAGTGTGGTTGTAAGTGGCCGAGTCTTGTGGTTCACAACAACGTACTTATATTTGCTTTACTGCTTTCAATAAGAAATCGTCAAATTGCATCCTATTGTGTTCCACATTTGGTATCAGAGCACTTTGCAAGTTGTAACCAGTTTAGAGTTGATTAAGCTTTCAAGCTTATTGAGAGATTGTTCTAGAGTGAAATTGAGTGATTTGCAGGATCTGGGTTGGGAAACACGAGGGTATTGAGGTGAGAAAGCTATACCAAGGGTGAGAGAAACATAGTAATCAGTGAGTTGTGAGTGCTGTGTAAGTATGGGTGATAATTCTGGTTTTGCTCAGGTTGGTCTGCCAAAGTTCGATGGAGATTATGACCACTGGAGTCTCTTGATGGAAAATCTCTTGAGATCCAAGGAGTATTGGGTTGTTGTGAGTGAAGGGTTTCAGGAACCAGCTCTAGGAATTCAGTTGTCTGCTACTGAATCCAAGAGCCTCGATGACCTTAAGCTCAAGGATCTCAAGGCTAAAAATTATATGTTTAGCTCCATCGACAAATCAATCCTGAAGACTATCACCAACAAGGCAACTGCTAAGCAACTCTGGGATGCTATGAAAACCAAATATCAGGGAAGTGCTCGTGTTCAGAAGGCTCAGTTGCAGGCTTTGAGAAGGAACTTTGAAGTTCTTGAAATGAAAGAAGGTGAGACAGTTACTGCATATTTTAGCAGAGTTATGGTTATAGCCAATGATATGAGGAACTGTGGTGAAGATATGCCTGATGTGAAAATAGTTGAGAAGATCCTGAGAACCTTGACAGAAAGATTCAATTATGTTGTTTGCTCTATTGAGGAGTCAAAAGACATTGAGACTTTGTCTGTTGATGCTCTTCAGAGCTCTTTACTGGTACATGAACAGAAGTTTCACAAGAAACCTCTGGTGGAGGAGGATCAGGCTTTGAAGATTTTCCATGAATATGGTGGTAGAGGAGGTAGAGGAGCAGGCAGAAGTGGTTCTGCAGGCAGAGAAGGCAGAGGTAGAGGTGGTAGGGGTTGGAATAGGGAGAATGTTGAGTGTTATAAGTGTCACAAGTTTGGACACTATCGCAGTGAGTGTCCTGACTGGTACACAAATCAACAGGCTTACTATTCTAGCTCCAATCAAGAGAAAATGAGTGATGATGTTCTGCTGATGGCTTTTCTGGAAGATACACAGTTGGAAGGAAAGGAACAGTGGTGGTTCCTGGATTCAGGATGTAGCAATCATATGAGTGGTAACAGAAAGTGGTTTGGCAACTTGGATACAACCTCTTCTGGAACTGGAAAAGTGAGGTTGGGGGATAACAGCAAGTTAGATGTGGCTGGCAAAGGGACTGTGAGGTTGCAGATAAGTGGAGTGTCCCTAGTTATAAATGATGTTTTCTTTGTTCCTGGCTTGAAGACAAATTTGTTGAGTATGGGCCAATTACAAGAGAAGGGATTGGAATTCCTAGTCAGGAGGAATGAGTGCAAAATATTTCATGAAGATAGAGGTTTTCTGCTGGAGACCAGGATGAAGGCAAATAGAATGTTTGTCTTGCAAGCTGCTGAGAATGTCAGTGCTGTTGACAGTCAGTGTTTGCAGGTTGAGAACTCAAAGGAAGGTTCACTAAGCCTCTGGCATAGGAGGTTTGGTCATTTCAATCCTCAAGGCATACTACAAGTGCAAAGAAAGAAGCTGGTACAAGGCCTACCTGAACTGAAAGGAGCAGTTGGAGTGTGTTCTACTTGTCAGGTTGGGAAGCAGACCAGGCAGCCTTTTCCTCGGAAAAGTTCATGGAGAGCAACTCAGAAACTCCAGTTGCTGCATGCTGATCTGTGTGGACCTATTACTCCAACCTCAAATGGGGGTAAGAGGTACATACTGACCTTGATTGATGATTTTAGTAGGAAACTGTGGGTCTACTTCTTGGCTGCCAAGTCTGATACTCTTGAATGGTTTAAGAAGTTCAAGGCTCAAGTTGAGAATGAAACTGGAGCATCAATTCTGTGTCTTAGAACTGATAGAGGAGGGGAATTCCTTTTGCAAGAGTTTAAGGATTTGTGTGAGGAAGCTGGAATAAAGAGGCAGTTGACAGCAGCTCTGACTCCACAACAGAATGGGGTAGCTGAGAGAAAGAATAGAACTACAATGAATATGGTCAGGTGTATGTTGAAAGACACAAAGGTTCCTGTTGTGTTTTGGCCTGAGGCTGTAAATTGGACCACACATGTGCTCAACAGGAGTCCAACTGTGGCCAATAAGGGTAAAACATCACAAGAACTATGGACTGGCTCTCCACCATCTGTTGCTCATTTCAGAGTGTTTGGCTGTGTTGCATATGCACACATTCCAGATCAGCAAAGGAAGAAACTTGATGACAAAAGTATACAGTGTCAATTTCTGGGTATCTCTACAGAATCTAAAGCTTATAAACTCTACAACACTCAGACCAGGAAGATAATCATCAGTCGAGATGTTGTTTTTGATGAGAGTAAGGGTTGGAATTGGAAGTCAGACATTACTCCTGCTCTCATCAGACTGTTGTGGGAAGGAAGTGAAGAAGACTGGAGTGATTCTGATGGAGAAGAGGGGCCAAGTGTGGTAGAAGATACTGAGGAGGAAGAGGAACCTACAAATCCATCTACTCCACCACCAAATTCTGGGGTGAATGCTACTGAGGAAGAAGAGGAAGATACTGGTACTGATGTGATGGGACTCCCTCTAAGTTCATATCTTGGTCCCAGAACCAGGAAACCACCTAGTCATCTGGCTATATATGACTGCAGACAGGTGGAATCTCTGATCACAGACTGGCCAGTCATGATAGCTACTACTGATGATCCTCAAAGCTATGAGGAAGCTGCTGGTATTGATATCTGGGATGATTCAATGAAGCTGGAGATGCAAGCAATTGAAAGGAATGATACTTGGGAGTTGACAGACTGCCCTGAGGGAGTAATTCCTATTGGAGTGAAGTGGGTTTATAAGACAAAGGTCAAGGAAACTAGAGACCTTGACAAGCATAAATCCAGGTTGGTGGTCAAGGGCTATGCACAGAGACCAGGAATTGACTTCACTGAAGTGTTTGCTCCAGTAGCCAGGTGGGACACCATCAGAACCTTGTTTGCTTTTGCTGCTCATCATGGTTTAACAATCTGGCAATTAGATGTGAAAAGTGCTTTTCTGAATGGTGAGCTTACAGAAGATGTCTATGTTGAGCAACCATAAGGATTTGTGGTTGCTGGGGAGGAAAATAAAGTCTACAAACTGAAGAAGGCTCTATATGGCTTGAAACAGGCTCCTAGGGCCTGGTACAGTAGAATTGATACATGGTTTCTCAGTCAAGGTTTTGAAAGATGTCCAAGTGAAGCAACCTTGTTCATCAAGAGGGTTGGATCTGATCTGTTGATTGTGAGTCTGTATGTGGATGATCTTATGTACATGAGCACCAGCAATGAGATGATTAAAGATTTCAAACAGTCAATGGAGGCTGAGTTTGAAATGACTGATCTGGGTAAGATGAGATACTTTCTAGGAGTGGAGGTGATTCAAAATGAGGCTGGGATTTTTATATGTCAGCAGAAATATGCAAAGGAAGTCCTGGAAAGATTTAAGCTGCTGGAGTGCAATTTTACTCACAACCCAATTGTGCCTGGTACAAAGCTAACAAAGGCTGGAGATGGTTGCCCTGCAGATGCTGGAGAATTCAAGAAACTGATTGGGAGCCTACTGTACATCACAGCAACCAGACCTGATCTAATGTTTGGTGTATGTTTGCTGAGCAGGTATATGGAGGCACCAACCAGACATCATATGTTGGCTGGTAAGAGGATTCTAAGGTATCTAAAGGGTACACTGAGCCATGGCATTTTGTATCAAAGAGGAACTGAGGAAGAGAGTTTACTTGGCTTCACTGATAGTGATTATGCTGGTGATCTCGATGATAGAAGAAGCACTAGTGGCTATATTTTCTTCCTGGCAGGAGGTGCTGTGTCTGGGGCCTCCAAGAAGCAACCAGTAGTCACTCTATCTACAACTGAAGCAGAATTCATTGCTGCCTCTTATTGTGCAGCTCAGGGTGTATGGCTTAGAAGAATCCTAGAGGAAATTGGCTGGAAGAAGAGTGTGAGTAATGGAACTGTTATCCTTTGTGACAACAGTTCAACAATCAAACTGTCCAAGAATCCAGTTTTCCATGGACGAAGCAAACACATAGATGTGAGGTTCCATTTCCTCAGGGATTTAGCAAAGGATGGAGTTGTTGAGTTGAAGCACTGTGGGACTCAAGATCAAGTTGTTGATATCATGACAAAAGCACTGAAGTTGGAGTCGTTTCTGAGACTGAGGAGCAGACTGGGGGTTTGTGATGTTTCTGAAGTGATAGGCAAATTGGATTGAGCAGTGTTGAAGTGAACTGAAGTTTGGTGTAGGAGATACTTCAGTTCAGGGGAGGATCTGTTGGAACTGCTAGAGCTGGAATCCTTGCTGCACAAGGATTGGGTTGAAGGCGCCAAAAGTTGTGTTTGAATTAGAGTCTTTCGTATTAGTAGGAACGGTGTCGTTTGTCAAAGTGTCCAGTTGGTCCTTTAAGTCTAGTTCATTACAAATAAGTCTTGCGTGTTCTGTTTGAATGGTTGAGAGTTTTCAGCTCAATCTGTTGGTAGTGGCAGCTGAAGTTT